AACGAAGCTGAGACCAACCTGCCACAGTGTGTATGACCTCGCCTGACCTCTCCCCAAGGTAAATAAGCAGGAAAAACACCTCGCCGCCCTCACCCTCAAAATCGCCGCGTCCCACCACGCTCTTTTAAAACATTTTCTCACTCGCTTTTTTACCATCCCCGCTCTCCCCAAATCACCCTCAATAAATAGAGCCCAACGCATATTTCCCATTAGAAACACACAAGATTTTTAAAACATACCGGAGTACACAAACAAGAGTTGAGACCGCGAGTGTTGGAACGTGAGATGAAACTGAGGAAACTGTTTCTCGTGCGTGTGCTTTGACCTTGAAACTGAGTACTAGAGAGAAACCCACAGGAAGTTGGATTCCCTGGGTTTTCTGGCTGGATTTATTGGCTCAGGAGGATATATTTAGATGTAAGAGGAAGAGGGATAAAGGGGGCTATTATTAAACACGGAAGCGAGCAACAGGTTATATTTAATTGAGGCTGAGATAGGAAAACAAATGATACGTACTAAAAAAAGTCTCAAGAAATGATATGATTCTTGAAATGTGATACATTCAAGGTTTTTCATTAATGTATGCATTTGATGAATATATGTAACACCCATATTCACTGTCTATAAATGCGAGAATTAAATTAATGTGATTTGCAAAGTATTTTATTCTTCTTGCATGGCAGTAACAGGAAATATTTTTAATTCCTTACCAGTTTGAAGAAACGCAATGTCTAATCAATGTACAATCGGATATACAAAGGAAAAGAAAAAGAAAGAGTTTCCACTAATTGTTGATATATATAATCCTGTGTGTTACTCCAGTTAATTGAACACCTAATTGAAGACTATTTTTCCCCCGCACAAAACGCAAATGTAATTATCTGTCATGAAAATAGAATATTAAAAAAAAAAAAAAAAAAAAGAAATCACGGTGTTTTCTTTTTTCTCTCTCCGAAATAGGATTTTCCAGGCAATTTAAACTGATGTAATTATGCTCAGTAACAGACAGGTTATGCTGTACAATTTCATGATACTCATCTTGTACCACGGGTGGATGGAGAACAGATAAGTGTCGGCGACCATTTAAACAAAGAAATTCTCTCTCTCTCTCTCTCTCTCTCTCTCTCTCTCTCTCTCTCTCTCTCTCTCTCTCTCTCTCTCTCTCTCTCTCTCTCTCTCTCTCTTCTCTCTCTCTCTCTCTCTCTCTCTCTCTCTCTTTCTCCTCCCTCCCCCTCTCTCTCTTCTTTCCCTTTCTCTCTCTCTCTCTCTCTCTTTTCTCTCTCTCTCTCTCTCTCTCTCTCTCTCTCTCTCTCTCTCTCTCTCTCTCTCTCTCTCTCTCTCTCTCTCTCTCTCTCTCTCTCTCTCTCTCTCTCTCTCTCTCTCTCTCTCTCTCTCTCTCTCTCTCTCTCTCTCTCTCCTCTCTCTCTCTCTCTCTCGTATATATGTGAAATATATAGTGGATCCAAGGTGGGTGAATATGTGTGTGTGTGTGTGTGTGTGTGTGTGTGTGTGTGTGTGTGTGTGTATGTGTGTGTGTGTGTGTGTGTGGTGTGTGATGTGTGTGTGTGCGTGCGTGTGTGTGTGTGTGTATGTGCGTGCGTGCGTGTGTGTGTGTGCGTGCGTGTCTGTGCGCATGTGCGTGTCTAGATACACATATAGAATTGCCTGAAACAAAGGACGCGCGATCGAGCTCAACAACAAAAAAAAAAAAAGTTTGTGAAATGTGTGATGCTTTCCACGAGTGTTGATATTGTGAAATGGTGCATCGATATAACATCTCTCTCTCTCTCTCTCTTCTCTCTCTCTCTCTCTCTCTCTCTCTCTCTCTCTCTCTCTCTCTCTCTCTCTCTCTCCCTCTCTCTCTCTCTCTCTCTCTCTCTCCTCTCTCTCTCTCTCTCTCTCTCTCTCTCTCTCTCTCTCTCTCTCTTCTCTTCTCTCTCTCTCTCTCTCTCTCTCGATATTGTGAAATGGCGCTTCGCTATACAAACTTCTTTTGATTAGCGTTTATTTGTCCACTTGACCTTCGTACTATATTAATGTGTTTCGAACCGTGAATAAGACGTAACATTAAATGGATTTTAGGGAAGATATGTAAGGGGATCCTCGGTTTATTTTCTGTCAGAAGAGGGGTCCTCGGGAGAGAAAAAAAAAGTTTGAGAATTTCTGCTGTAGAGGAAAACTGTTTTTATTTTTTTTTTTTTCTCTCTAATTCTTACACAGAGTAAGTATTCAGAGTTGGATTTCACGCACACGCACACACACACACACACACACATACACATACACACACATACACATACACATACACATACACACACACACACACACACACACACAACACACACACACACACAACACACACACCACACACACACACACACACACACACACACACACACACACACACAAGCTGATTAAGAATTCACGAACACAGAAATGTCTTCTTTTGTGTAGCTATCAACAACACCTAAATTAAAGCAAAACAACAACAACAACAACAACAAACCTGTAAAACTATCCACAGAAGAATTGTACCGTTGAGAAACATCCCAAGCGTCCCCACAGTCTGTGAGTAGACATCCCCCGCCTTTTCCTGCCATGGTTAGCACACCCATAAAACCGGCGGCGCTTTTATGTACACGGGAGAGGCTAGGTCAGTAGCATCTCGAGGAGACGTCATGGTGTCTGATCCTATTTTTGGAGAAAAAAAAGCACATGGGGCTTATTTTAATGACGTCATAAAAGTTATGGATGCTTGGTGAATATGGTCGATCATTTTGGTATCTTTAATCTTCCAAAAGGATGGAAAATAATGATTTTAATGGTTGCATTTCCACCAAAAGAGACGCCATGACACCTCGAATTATTACTGATCTAGCCTTTCCCTTATATAGACAACACCTTCACCAAATGAGCTATAACTGAAGCAACTATCACCGTATTTAAAGAATCTAGACAAAGGAGACGCGTTTTCTTGAAGGTTATTGCGGAAAATACAGCGTGAAATTGAGAAGTCGCTGTTACGTAAACAACTTAACCTAATGAGCTAACTGAAGCAACTATCGCCGTGTTTATAGAATCTAGGATATGCATTTTCTTGTAGTTTTTTTTTTCGGTAAATACAGCGTGAAAGTGGGAAATCAGTGTAATTGATAACCAATGGGATTAGTATCTTGTGTATGAATTGATAATAAACGGAATTTTTGATGTAGGATTTTTTGGTGTATTAGAGTTTAATTGATAACCTTGGTATTCTTTCTGGTATGCTTGACTTTGATAGACAACCATGGATTATATCTGGTATGTTAGATATAATAGATAACCATGGGATTTTGTTGGTGTGGTACTTTTATTGATAACTATATGATTTATCTGATATGCTAGACTTTAACTGATAATCATAGGATTTTGTTGGTGTGCTAGCTCCTCTTTGATAAATATAGAAAACGGGAATTTTTAATTGTGCAAGGAATACGAACTTATCTCTTGTTTACCATTCAGTGGCCTTCTCAGGTGGCTTTGTCGAATCCAGAAGGTTGTGAAATACTGTTATAAACTGATTTTGTAACGATAAATGTTTTAATTAATTTGATTTTTTTCGGAAGATTTTGTTTTTATTTTTAAAGAACAGCTTTTATTAGTAGATATTGCGTGACCATGACTTTAAATAAAATATTCTACCATTTAAAAATAATAACAACTAAATCTTATGTATGAAAAGTCACACTCAGAAGAGAATATATCAAACTGTACAAAAAGAACTACCTAATAAATATGAATTAACACATTAACGATAATTTTTGCTATAATTTACCTACACAACCAGATAGATGCCTCTTCTTACTTTTATTCATGTTTTCCTTTTATAAATCTTTCATCGAATATATACAGTATATTCAACATAAACCTCCACTATTATTTTACACAGAACCACTTAATTTACGTCCTCCTTTACAAGAATAATGAACAAAAACCACATAATTTGAGCGTAGCATTGTTCCATGTCTTTATAAGCTTATGTTTATACACTGAAACTAATACGCGATGTAACTACGCTGTGAAATATATCTAGAGTCACACTAGATACGTACATGTGTGTGTGTGTGTGTGTGTGTGTGTGTGTGTGTATAATATATATATAATATATATATATATATATATATATATATATATATATATAAATGTATTGATGAATAAATACGTATGTATATAAATGTATAAACGTGCACATACACACACACACACACATACACATACACATATATATGTGTGTGTGTGTGTATACATATACATATTTCTATGTATATATGTATTATATATATATATATATATATTATATATATATATATATATATATATATATATATATACATATAAGTGTGTACGTGTGCTTAAATCAGATGGAAAAGAACTAAAACAGTGAAAAAGAGAAGAAAAGAAACTATTCATTTCGCGCACGATGCAAGAGACTTAAACGGTTCCTTTCTGGAAACCGGAAAGTATAAGAACCACAAAACATGTATAAAAAGTGAGACGAGCCATATGAACGTGTGTGATTTGGCGGTGAATAAAAAATCTATGTGATTTTAGGAGGAAAATGTATTAATCATAATAACTCAGTTTCGTTGGTCGTATGATAAACATTGGCGCGTTTTTTTTTTAAGTTTAAAAATCGGATAAAAGGAGAAACGGCTTAGCCAAGTTACACATTTGATCGAATTATTGAAAGTAAAGGAATTATATCGTCATTTTTTTCCAAATTGTCAAAAATACATAATCTTCTGATACATTGATTTTGTTTACTTTCAGTCGAATAAACATCCATAACAGATAGCTACGCATTAACCCCTCCACATCTTTTTCATGTTTATTTATTATAAGGAATCAATTTTTTTCTTTTTAATGTAGCGTCTTGTTGTTATTAAAGAATAGAAAATAACAACATTCAGTTTAAATGTTTTATTAGTGGTTACTGGAAACAAACTTTTCTTTCCTTTTTTCTTTTTTTTTTTTTTCAACTTTTTCTTTTTCTTATTTTGGCGGAAGTCAAACCTAGGCTTCTGTCCAACTTTTCAGCGACACAATTTTTTAATTACTCATCTCAGGAAGTAAAATGCATTATATAATGCACGCAACAACACATACTTATCCGCACACAAATGTTGCATCTCACGGATATCTACAATCGCTAAATGTGTGTGTGGGTGTGCGTGTGTTGCTGTGTGTATGTGTGTGTGTATGTGTGTGTGTGTGTGTGTGTGTGTGTGTGTGTCCGTTCGCGCGCGCGCTTGCGTACGTGCGTGCGTGAGAGAGAGAGAGAGAGAGAGAGAGAGAGAGAGAGAGAGAGAGAGAGAGGAAGAGAGAAAACAAAAAAACACATGAACACAGCTTTCTCACAATGCAAAAGAAACATCAATTGTTCAAATTCTCCAAACATTCACAAATGATACCTTAAAATTAAGAGGAAAAATGCACATCTGGAAGCACGACCACGATCCAAGGAGACGGTGCATGCGTCTATACTCGAAAGTCACTTCATGATTTAGCAGGAGTCGTCATGCACAGTTGTTCATCGCCTACTGTGCCTTTTCTCCTTCGCAACTTGTCAATTAATTACTCACGTAGAGGAAATGGTTCGTTTAAATGCTGCTTTGGGTTAAACCTGTCTTGTTTGTAAAAGCGAATACTATGAACAAAATTATTGGAAACCAAAATCATACATATCCATTGAGTCTCCGTGTTGCCCCCTTAAGAAGGTTTACGCTTGAGAACCATTATCTTAGAGGGAAATAAATAAAGAAAAATACTGTGACTTTGTGTGGACTTACATGTACGAGTGACTATAAAACAGCAATGAACATTATCAATGAGCTGACATAATAACGTAATAAGGGTAACAGAAATACAGATAATAACATCAATGTTATTATCTTTTTAATGTCATTATAATAATTATAATTATCATGATCATAATAATCATACCAGATAACATTCAGGTTAATGAAGTATTACGACAAGTCCGGTAATAATCATCACTTTATTTCCAGAAAAAAAAAACCTTTGACATACATGACACAGATACAGAAATCTTCAGTGTCTATTTTCCCTTCCTCTCCGTTTCTCTTTTCTCCTTTTTTAAATGGTTCTCTTTTTTTTTTTTTTTTCTCTTTTCTTTTTAAATGGTTCCTTTAGCGTTTTCCCGCCTGTATTTTCCTCATTTCCTCCCAGTACTCGACCTCGCTGACGCCTTCCCACTCTCGCTTCGACAGCTTTTGGAAGAACCTGTGTGGGGATGAGAAGAAGATGAGGTGGTCTGCAGTAAGGTGACGATTGGGGTGGAAGGAGCTCGTTTCGTAAGAGGGAGGGAGGGAGGGAGGGAGGGAGGAGGGAGGGAGAGAGGGAGAGAGGGAGGGAGGGAAAGGGGGACGAGGAGAGAGGAGAGAGAGGGAGGGAGGGAGAGAGAGAGAGAGAGGAGAGAGAGAGGAAGAGAGAGAGAGAGAGAGAGAGAGAGGAGATGAGGAGAGGGAGAGAGGAGAGGAGAGAGGGAGGAGAGAGAGAGAGAGAGAGAGAGAGAGAGAGAGAGAGAGAGAGAGAGAGAGAGTATTTTCTCTGGCACTGATGCTGAGATTACTGGGATATAGGGAAAATCTCATTACAGACAATTTCCTCGAAATCTTCTTTATTTCTGTTGGTTAAGGTGTATATATATATCTGTCGACAGCTTCGGAGTTTTCTTAGTATTTCAGACACGGGAAATGTGCCGCCTCGAAAAATCTTGAAAGGGGAATTGTCCCCCTTGTCATAAAATCTGAGCGGGAGGGAAATCCGCGGGGAGGATTAATTCTGAGGCGATTTACAGCGATTAATAGATGAAATCAGAATTCATTTGATTTAAAATTCTAGATGTAACTTGCATTTCTTTAGTAGCAGCGGTAAATGTTATCGTATCTAATAAAATAACACTATGAGGTAGTAATATATGTTATCAGGAATACTGAATATCTCTCAAGGTCTTGGACATGCTCAACTAAGACCACATAACACTGTCAGGTATTATATACATATGTCAGATAATAACAGTGCTGCTAATAAAAAAGAAAGAAAAAAAATAAAAAAAAAAAAAGAAAAAAGGAAGAAAATAAAAGATGAAAAAAAAGAAAAAAGAAAAAAGAAAAAAAGAAAAAGAACAAAAAAAAGAAGAAAACAATGGCTATTTCAGTAACGAACAGAAAAGAGATCAAAAGCGATCCTTGTCTTGATTCCGACTCTTTAAAACCGATTTTGGCTTTGATATTCAGCGCTGATTTTGCCTTACTTTTCTTGCACTTGTTGGGAGAGCTCGACTTCGTGAGCGGTAGGTGTTGAGAGGATGGCCTCCAGATTACGTCTGAAGATGCGACTGTCGTTGGAGCCCATGAGGTGTGTGGCCACGCCCTCCGTGCTGGCCGAGAACTGCACGGCCAGACGAGCCAAGTCGCTGCCCGCGTCCTGGGAAAGAATCGGAAAAAGAAGTGTTATTGGAAAATACACCTCCGGGAAGTGTTTGCGTGAGACGACGAATAGCTGAATAATTACGAAGTAAATAAAGGAAGAAACCCCAAAACGATTTAAATGAACCATCGAATGAACAGTACCCACGTCTGCGTCGGTAGTTACCTTGCAGAACTTGGCGGCGAGTTTCGAGGCGTCCTTGATCTCCTGTTGCGCGGGATGCCATTCGGGAGGTTCGCCCTCGCACAGGAGGCCCATCGCCACTGCGCAGGCGCTGATTACTCCGATATTCCGAGACTGAGGATAATAGTTTGACGAATCTTTGTTTAGAAGAAATAAAAAAAAAATCTGTTTCTAATATGGCGTGATATGGGACTTCACCGCGCGTTACTAATATGGCGGTAAATGTGTATACTGAGAGAGATGTGAACGAAAGCTACTAATATGTTTGGAGAGAGATGTGAACGAAAATCACCGCGCTACTAATATGGCGGTAAATATGACTGACGAAAAAAAAAATCGTTTTACTAATATGGCGGTAAATGTATGATGTGAACGAAAGTTACAATACGGTAAATATGTTACTGAGAGATATGTGAACGAAATCACCGCACGCTACTAATATGGCGGTAAATATGTTACTGAGAGAGATGTGAACGAAAATCCCGCACGCTACTAATTATGGCGGTAAATAGTTGTGAACGAAAATCACCGCGCGTACTAATAGGACTGTGAACGAAAATCATGTATACTGAGAGAGATGTGAACGAAAATCACGAAAATACTGAGAGAGATGTGAACGAAAATCAAAGAATAATATATAAATATTGGCCGGTAAATATGTATACTGAGAGAGATGTGAACGAAAATCACGCGCGCTACTAATATGGCGGTAAAATACTGTATACTAGAGAGGATTGTGAACGAAAATCACCGCACGCTACTATATGGCATAAGAGTAAATATGTGTACTGAGAGATATGTGAACGAAAATCACCGCGCGTTAACTTTAATATGGCGGTTAAATATGTATACTGAGATGAATATGTGAACGAAAATCACCGCGCGCTACTAATATGGCGGTAAATATGTTTACTGAAGAAATATGTGAACGAAAATCACCGCACGCGTACTAATATGGCGGTGTAAATATGTTACTGAGAGAGATGTGAACGAAAATCACCGCACGCTACTAATATGGCGGTAAATATGTTTACTGAGGAGATGTAACGAAAATCACCGCACGGTACTAATATGGCGGTAAAATATGTTTACTGAGGAGATGTGAACGAAAAATCCCCGCACGCTACCTGAAGAAGGCATATACTCCTTCAGGACGTCATCGATGAGCGTGTTCCGTGCATAGGACAACACCACCTCGATCTTCACGCTGGATCTCTCCACCACCTGCTTCAGTATGCTCAGAGGATAGCCTGTGATGCCGATATGCCTGCAGGAGGGAGATGTTCACTCGTGGTTCAGTCTATAGTCCGTCTCATCTGTATTTTACTCGGTCCTGCGTGTTTATTTGATCTCTAAACCTTCCTTCCTTCCTTTTGGCTTTTATTATCTAGCATTTATTTGACTTCTTTCTTCCATGTGCATCGACTTGACCCCACATCTTATGACCTAAACCTCTCCTCCCCTCCTTCCAAGTGTTCCCCTCCCCTCCCCCCCTGTTCACCCCCTCCCCCCTTCCAACCCCTCCCTCCCCTCCCTTCCAAGTGTTCACCCTGCCCTTCCCTCCTTCCAAGTATTCACCTCCTTCCAAGTTTCACACCCCCCCCCCTCCTTCCAAGTGTTTCACCCTCCCCTGCCCTCTTCCAAGTGTTTCCCCCTTCCCCTACCCTCCTTCCAGTGTTCACCCTTCCCTCCTTCAAGTGTTCACCCCCTCCCTCCTTCCAAGTTTCCCCCCCCTCCCCTCCCCTTGCCTTCAAGTGTTCCCCCCTCCCCTCCCCCTTCAAGTGTTCACCCCCTCCCCTGCCCTCCTTCCAAGTGTTCACCCCCTCCCCTCCTCCAAGTGTTCGCCCTCCCTCCTTCCAAGTGTTCACCCCTCCCCTCCCCTCCTTCCAAGTGTTCCCCCCTTCCCCTCCTTCCAAGTGTCACCCCTCCCTCCCCTCCTTTCTAAGGTTCCCCCCCTCCCCTCCTTCCAAGTGTTCCCCCCTTCCCTCCGTTCCTTCCAAGTTCCTCCAAGTGTTCACCCCCTCCCTCCTCTCCCTTCCAAGTGTTCACCCCCTCCCCTCTCCTCCTTCCAAGTGTTTCACCCCTCCCCTGCCCTCCATCCAAGTGTTCGCCCCCTCCCCTCCCTTCCTTCTTCACCCTTCCCTCCCCTTCCAAGTGTTCACCCCCCTCCCCTCCCCTCCTTCCAAGTGTTTCCCCCCTCCCCTCCTTCAAGTGTTCCCCCCTTCCCCTCCCCTCCCTCCAAGTTTCCCTCCTCCCCTCCCCAAGTGTTCCCCCCTCCCTCCCTTCCAAGTGTTCACCCCCTCCCCTCTCCCTCCTTTCCAAGTGTTTCCCCCCCTCCCCGCCCTCCTTCACGTGTTCCTCCCCTCCCCTCCCTTCCAAGTGTTCCCCCTGCCCTCCCCTCTTTCAAGTGTTCCCCCCTCCCCTCCTTCCAAGTTTTCACCCCCTCCCCTGCCTCCTTCCAAGTGTTCCCCCTTCCCCTCCTTCCAAGTGTTCACCCCCTCCCCTCCTTCAAGCCACCCCTTCCCCTCCTTCCAAGTGTCCTTTCCAACCCTTCCCTCCCCTCCTTCCAAGTGTCCCCGTTCCCTCCCCTCCTTCCAAGCGTTCACCCCCCCTCCCCTCCTTCCTTCCCCTCCCCTCCCCTCCTTCCAAGTGTCCCCGTTCCCCTCCCTCCTTCCAAGTGTTCACCTCTCCCCTCCCTCCTTCCAAGCGTTCCCCCCCTGCCTCCCCTCCTTCCAAGTGTTCCCCTTCCCCTCCCTCCCCCCTTCCAAGTGTTCACCCCCTCCCCTCCTTCCAAGTGTTCCCCCCCCCTTCCCCTCCTTCAAGTGTTCCCTCCCCCTTCCAAGTGTTCCCCCCTTCCCCTCCCCCTCCTTCCAAGTGTTCACCCCTCCCTTCCCCTCCTTCCAAGTGTTCACCCCTTCCCCTCCCCTCCTTCCAAGTGTTCCCCTTCCCTCCTCTCCTTCCAAGGTTCACCCCTCCCCTCCCTCCTTCCAAGTGTTCACCCCTCCCCTCCCCTTCTTCCAATGTTCACCCCTCCCCTCCTTCCAAGTGTTCACCCCTCCCCCCTCCCTCCCCCCTTCCAAGCGTTCACCCCCTCCGCTTTCATCTCACCTCGCTTTGCCCTGTTCCACGACCTTCTGCAGCGCCGGCAGTGTCTCATTCAGTATTAGGTCCAAGCTCTCGGCAAACTCAAGATCATGAACCTGCAATAGAAAATCATGACGCGAGTGCACCGAGACTATTTATCAAAAGTGACTGAACACCCCTGGTTATTCATTATCCTAAAATATTAATTAATGATCTTTATTATTCATTATCCTAATGTTATTCTTAATTATCCTAATTTATTCATTAATTACTAAATTCATTCATTTCTAATTCTAATTATCCTAATTTATTCATTAATTTCCTAATTTATTCATTAATCAATTATTCATTATCCTAATCTATTTCTTAATTATCCTAATTCATTTAATACCAATCTATTCATTAACCTAATTCATTCATTAATTATCCTAATTTATTCCTTAATTATCCTCATTATTCAAAAGGCGACTAACCTGGATGACGTCAACGTAGTCGAGGCCGAGGAGCTTGAGGCTGAGGTCGACGCTGCTGGCGACTCGCTCGGCGGAGAAGTCGAACATGCGCTCCACACAGGGCTCGTAGCGGCCGATCTTGGTGCCGATGTAGTAGGCGCTGCGAGGCACGTCCTTCAGGGCCTGGTGGTAATGGCAGGAGGCGGGGGGGGGGGGTTTTTATACGTTCATACACTCAGATACACAGAGACACAGACACAAGACACACTAATACACGCGCGCACACACACACACACACACACACACACACACACACACACACACACACACACACACACACACTCACACACACGACATATATATATATATATATATATATATGCGTTCTTTTTCGGGCAGCATAAACATGGCATACCGGACGTTAGCTGTGACAAGAATTCAAATTTCATAAGCTTTCAGTAGATATCAATGAGAGTCTGCTTCGATCGTGTAACACTGCAGAAGACACTAAAAGACGATAATTCTGCACGGAAGGCATCCACAACTGTATCAAACGTCTTTTTTTTCGAACATAGCTGATCATACCACGACTCTCTACTAGAAAAAATATCTAAAAAGCTGCTAACTCCCTCCTAAAATGTCTAAAAGCTTTCAATAATCCCAATTCCCAAAGTTGAAAAGAGTAAACTAACTCATTCCTACAATGTCTAAAAGATTTCAATAACCATAATTCCCAAACTCGAAAAAAGTAAACAACAAGAAAATAAGATAAAACTTATAAAATATACTTCCAACGCGTCTTACCTTCCCCAGTACCTCCTCGCTCCTGCCATTACCATACCAAGGAGCAGTATCGATATAGTTCACGCCGCTTTTAAGGGCAGAGTGTACCATGTTCACACACTCTGCCTCCGAAGTACTCCCGTAGAGCCCTCCAATGGGTCCACCGCCTAAGGATAAGCGGGACACCTGCATCCCTGAGGAACCATCAAATGCAATGAGGATAAACTTGTATAAACAGCGAAGAAGAATGTAGTCTCTTAACAACGAGGTATGGACCGTAAGAGTACTATTAAACATCACAAGGGAACTCTCAGTATGTGAAATTCCTAAAGTAATTTTACGTGGTGTTCAATATGTATCTACATCTCTGTGCACACAAATCTTTCAAGGTACCATATGTTTTTCTTTATTTTACGTATTTACATCATTTTCTTCCCCCACCCCTCACTCTCTGTTATATCTAGCCCTGTTTTACACCCCTTTCGCCTGTATTGAGATATAAATATTAATTTCTGTTACTCGGATCTACCTGGTATGTTTAAGCCACGCAAAAGCCTCACCTGTGTTACCCAGAGGATGGTATGTCATCTTCTTGACAGCCTCTGGGTCATGGAAGCCCTCTACAAAAGTTGGTTGGTCCATCTGTAAAATTTAATGATTTATATTAGCTATAAAGTTTATCATAAAGTCTTGAACTCATTTGACTGTAGTAAATTTTCTGTATTCATTTTACCTGTGGAAAGGTATGAATGAGAACGAATATCTTCACAATACAAGATATTCGTTCTCATTCATACCTTTCCACATTTGTCAACATTACAGTTCATTCATTTTACCTTTAGTTCGAGGCCGAGAGGCAATCCTTTTACCTACTGCTCCGTCAATTACTCTTTGTGTATTACAAGCTTCCCCAATAAATTCATTAACACACTGGTCTTTACACAACGTTAGCGAAAACCTGTAGGAAGTATTGGCCACTGCTAATGACAAACCAATGTGTAGGTCACTAATTCTTCATCAAAGTAGTGAATCCAGTGCTTATTCTTCCATACTCCTTTCCCTCATATTTCCAGTCTTGAATGTATTCAATCTCTCACTACCCGGCACATCACATGATCTGTTATTCTCAACAGCTAATAATTCATTTACGAATAAATATGCATTTTCAGTCTATTTACTTATTGTACTTTATTTGATGCCGTGTAATACAATAAAAAGAAAAATAATTCTCACTTCGTATTACGATGTCCACCACTTGCTCTGCACAACACCAAAGCAAAAGATCAAGTGCTAACAAAACCCCGTAAAACAAACCAAAACCACAATTCCGCACTATTACCGCGAAGAAGAAAACAATACTACATCTTTCACCAACCTAAAATTCTGATATAACAACTCACAAGTATTTACAACATCACTTGCTGATTCCGCCGATTAATTACTGAATTATATTAATAACTAAACAAATGTCTCACTGTGTAGCTTATTTTAAGAATTTGCTGGTCTATAGAACGCCTGTATACTTAATATTGTCTCCCTTCACTCTTCAGTCACATTTACTTATTTTCATCACTGAACCGACAAAAAAAAAAATAATAATAATAATTGCCTAACTTTTAAAACACAACACTAACAACTCTTTGCATAACTTGAAGAGACTGTTTAACGAGGCAGTTTACATATTTGTTTAATGATTTGATCAAACTTAGTAACATAATTATCTGAAAATATTTTATGCTCGTTAAGATCTACTAATGATAAATCTTTGAAGATCGGCACGATACGAAATTCCGTGTACAAAGGGATTGTGATCGAAATACTGGTGATACTGCATAATATATGTGTAAACAAAGCATGTGGATACACTGTCAGGAAAGATTGAACACTTTTAGTAAAAGATAGTCGAACAAAAATTATCAAATGGTTATTATTACATTACATACCTTCTATATTATATTTTTTCTCCAAGCGTATAAACAGTTCAGATCTGTAGGTTGAAACACATCTCAGACAGATGATTGAACAGTGAATAATAGAAGAAAAAGTCCCAGTATTTTATGAAAAAGTCCTCTAGTCTGCAGTAGCAAAACTGTTGTGGCAGAAACATCACTAAACTAACCAAATAAACAGTACTTTGATGACGACAAAACAGTTGTAAACAGAGCAAGCAAGATCTACAATTAAACTGTCTGATGATTGCCAAGTTGGAAACCACTTGCTCGCGGTAGACTCTCGACATTCGATTTGTTGTTGACATTCCACGAAAAATGTTTCTGCCATTTTAGACGTAACAAAAATCCAAATGACATGAACAGGTTTCTAAGTCTTTACAGAGTTATTTGATATTAGTGTGTGTGTGTGTGTGTGTGTGTGTGTGTGTGTGTGTGTGTGTGTGTGTGTGTGTGTGTGTGTGTGTGTGTGTGTGTGTGTGTGTGTGTGTGTGTGTGTGTGTGTATATATATATATATATATATATATATATATATATATATATATATATATATATATATATATGATGAATAAATAAATGAATGAAAATGAATTGTGTAAAATCTGCCGCCATGAATTAAAGTAAAAAAAAGTGGGATTTTTTTTTTTTTATAACGTTACTGTAGTATGCATACATTACCACTCTTTTTATGGTACTTTGTTTTTCCGTATTTGGTCACCATATAATGACAATGTTAAAACAGAAAAAATAGGGCGTAGACACTTTACAGCAGAGCTTTCAAGGACAATACCTAGCACCCGTAATGCACATAATACTAAGGATATCCGCTGTGTTCCTTAGGAAAAGCCTTTACGAACGAACACCTTTGGAAAGAACAGGTATATTCGTCATGTAAGAGCTATTCTATTCTTAGGAAATTATGTGAATAGAGAGTCGAAAGCTGTGAAGTAGTTGATGGAACGTACTCACGGATGCAGCTTTCGTACTCAGAACTGTTACAGCTGTTAGGGTCTTCCTTTCGAAATTTTATGTAGAAAATGTAGAATATACACATAA